TTTCAATCTTTACACAAAAACAAATTAAAATATCCATGACCAAGAGCTTCTGACATTTTATGTTTCATTTCAGAGCTCCAGGACAGCTGCAACTGTGTTTCTAATATGACTCGTGTTCTGGCCTATTCAGTCATGCTTTGGGGCTTGGAAGAAAAGTGATGTCACTGTCAGCTATATTTCTTTTCTCTGAATCCTGACATAAATGATCTTTTTGCAGCCTGCATAAACAATGGTCATATCCTTGAAGTTCCCATGCTTTGGGGTCATTGCCAAACTTCATTCTCGCTTCTGCAGAGCCAGATTAGACTGGCACTCTGCACAAAGGGTTGAACTGGCATCAGCACCATAAAAATACCAGTCTCTTTCTTTTATGCTTTCTTTGTCCACTTTGCAAAACATATATGAAAGACTTTGTGTATATCATGTAAAATTAATAAATTAAATAATTGTTACCTCAAATGAAGAAGCAAATCTAATACAGTTATTTCAGTTCCCAGAAAAGTTTCCAACACTGGAGGTATCATCTCCAAAAACACCTGGTACAGGAAAAAATTACTAAGCAAATAAAAACAAACCTTAGCCACATCACAGCAGAGGCTGCTGGCTAAATTGATGCCATCAGAAACAACATGCACTAAGCCAACACAAGACAGTAGGGGCAGCTGGCTAAACTAAACTTTAAAGTCATTTAGATCTACACCAAATAAAATGTCTGAAATACCAACTCACCTCATGTATAAGATGCCAGCTTCCCTAAAGAATATTTTTACATCAAAATCTGGGCCTGACTCAATCAGGAAGGTCTTCTTTGTATAGCAGGAGTGAATACATCCTTTTCCCCAAAGCACTATATTTTGCAAAATTCCCAGTTTTGCCAGAACAAATAGGATGAGAGGTGAACATCTGTACAACACTGCATTGCTGCTTTACTGAAACTGTGTTAATAATTTAATGCATTAATGAATAATAGGAGAAGGAATTACAACTGACCAAATGTATATATTTCAAATGTGACATTTATTTCCTTTAAATTGGTTCTATACGTAGATAACTGTGCTTTCATTTTTCCTTGAAACTAACTCATGCTTCTTGTGAAAACTGGCATTATCCACAAAATTATGTTGCAGTATGCAAGAAATCTAAATTTTCAACAGTTTCTTTTATGCTAACGATAAATTAATGTTAAAAGCTTCTTTTGACTTCATATATATTAATAAAGATAACAAGTTAGAACACTAGCTTGAACCATGGGAAACACAAATTCAAATTCCTGACATACTTGCAAGTTGATAATGCTCTCCTTCACTCCTCTGTCTGTTATTTATAAGACAAACGGTTCAACCATCATTCTTCATTTTCAATAATTGTATTTATTGTATTTATTTTACAGCAATGATTCTTTCACTAGTATTAGATTCATTAAGGGTAAGTTAAGTGCAAGCTACAAACTGGTTAGGTAGTTTTCTGTCTGAAAAGGATCTGGACAGTAAAAGGGAACATAAATTTTATAGAAGTCAACAGTGCCATGCTATTGTGAAAATGATTGGACTGTCACACAGCAGAAGTAAATAGATTGCAAGGCATGTCATATAATAAACTCTACATAGTATTGGCACCAGCTTATCTGAGCATCATGTTCACCTTGGACCATTGCCTGTCAAGAAAGGCATGGAACAGCTGGAGAAAGACCAAAGGAAATAAAGAATGATAGAATATTTGGAAAATATGGCCACTAAGGAACTATTTTTAAAAATAGCAGTTATTTAACCTGAGGAGGGAAAGGCCAAAGAAAGATATGATAGCAGCTATGATAGCAGATTTCCATTAAGTCAAAGAAGAAAGGAATCATCTGCTTTCTGTGCCTATAGGACTGGACAAGAATTAATGCATTTTTGGTAAGAACTTTCTATGTGGAAGTAAAATGTTTTATATTGAGCAAATTGCAGAGTTAGAATAGATTTCTGTTTTCTCATTGAAACTTCCCTCACTGAAAGTCTCTGAAAAGGATAGATAAATATCTGTCAGGAATGGCAAAAATAATGTATTTTGCCTCTCAACAAGAGTGGACTAAAAAGAAAGTCCAATGCCCATTTCAATTCTATTTTTTATTATTTTTTTGAAAGCAAGACACTTCAAAACAGCAAACTGGACATCGATTTTCTGGACATAAAAACACACCTCTGTCTCAAATGAATTCATACTTGTCAACACTATTTAAAACAATAATGATAGCCGTTACAAAAATGAAAGCCTGTTAAGTAGCACATCTTCTGTATGTGTTAATCTTTTTCTTTTTTTCTACAAGTTTAATACTCTTTCTCTATTCTGAAAGGTATATACTTCCTTTCCTGCAATATAAAATCATAGTTATTGAAAAATAAATCTAGGAAAGAACCTTCAGTTCTATCAACCAGATCTTTCAAGAAAATACAGAATGCAGCCCAAAAGAGGAGAGCCACTTAGGAAATCACATTTAACACAACTTTTACTTTGAAAGCAATTCATCAACAAATACTCCATGGGTACCGCTATCCAGCCAGCTTTGCTCCATCCTAACATAGCTTTATTAAGACCAAGATCACCTGCAGTGAAAATATACAAACCAATGTCAAATGTTCTACTAAAGTTAATTACATACAGGGTTATAATCACTGTATAGTATAACTATTGTGGTTTTCAATTGGACTGTGTTTATTTTTAAAGATTTTAAAAATTCTTACAAAATTTTAACTGTAAAGAACCTTTAATACCTCTTAAGTATGACAGATCTTAGATTTCAATGACATCTCATGTTTAGTAACAATATCATCATAACAGACAAAGCACAAGTCTTAGAAAAAAAATCTATCAATTATATCCCAACAGCCTATTTCCTTCAGATATATTTAGGTCTACAAGATAACACTAACTTGGAATTACTGCAAAATTAATGTGACCTGCTTTCATAGAAGCACAGCACCACAGAACGGTTTGGGTAGAAAAGGACCTTTAAAGATCACCCAGTCCCACCCCCCTGCCCCGGGCAGGGACACCTTCCACTAGCCCAGGTTGCCCAAAGCCCCGTCCAACCTGGCCTTGAACCCTTCCAGGGAGGGGGCAGCCACAGCTCCTCTGGGCAGCCTGTGCCAGTGTCTCACCACCCTCACAGGTGAATTTCTTCCTTCTATCTAATCTAAAACTATCCTTCTTCCATTTAAAAATGTTACCCCTCGTCCTATCCCTGCACCCCCTGATAAAGAGTCCCTCCCCATCGTTCCTGTAGGCTCCCTTTAAGTACTGGAAGGCTGCTGTAAGGTCTCCCTGGAGCCTTCTCTTCTCCAGGCTGAACACCCAAAGAGCATCAATACACTACTGTATAAATGTTGCATACTACTGTTCAGATAATAGGAGGGAGAAGATTTCAGCATTAATAACAATTTCATAAAATATCCAGTAATTAGTTAATTTGCTTTGACCAGGTAAGGTACTTTAAGCAATTACTTGGCTGACATATAACAAAAGATAGAGAATTTACATATTAAGTGTACACAATATTATTATCGTTCTTGCTAATAAGTCGTCATCGTGAGAAAGTAAATGAAGGTATTAATTTTATTCATATTTGTATTTTGGAGGTGTCTGAATATGCAAAGCAACATCACAGCCTCATCATGCTACAGTGTAAATAAACAGAGTATTTCAGATAGCATCTGTCCCCATCACATGCTATTATTGTCAAAGTATGTATAGTATGAACATTACCTTTGAACTGAATAAATGTTTTAATTTTAAAATATAATTAATTCTATTGTTCAAAAACTGGAATTAAACCATCATGCAACGATTCACATTACTTCACAAATAATTTGATGGCTGCTACTGATCCTTTTCATTGCAGAGCAGCTTAACACAATAAAGTAAATTTCTCAGATTGGCCAACTGATTCATTTCATAAGCCCTTTTCTGATACAAAAATTCATAAAATCATAAGTGTTATTAAACAGCATCCAAAGTATTTTTCAAAACATGTAACTATTCTCTGAACCTTCAGAGACATATCTTAAAAAGAAGATACTCTATTATTCACTGCATCATTTACACCTTTTACATAATGTAATCAAAGGATTTAAATAACTCGGTTTAATATTTATCCAGGAACTGGCAGCCAGTATTCTACCCTGAGGGACGTAACTCTTCATAAAAAGCTCATTTTACAAGACACTGTAGCAGTTTTGGCATTACCAGCACCTCTCACATAAACCATGCTCAAAACTATAGTTTATCCTGCCAAATGCCTTTTGTACATATGGTGTTTAACAGTGCTCTGTAGGTCTGTAAGCCAATAATAATAGATCTAAGCTAAAAATCTGGAGACACACATATATGTAGCACAAAAATTTCAACAATGCTACATGATCATATACATATATATATATATTTACCTACATACCCCACATTCATATGAACATACACGATTAAAAGTATTCTTTAAATTGATATGCTAACTATAGCACTTGTAAAAACAATTTCTTTCAATTTGCAGTAGCTTCCTAAAGTTTAATTCTCCTTCTATTGACATCAGAGGCAGAACTTCCATTAACCACAGTAGTATAGAATTAGGTAAGAAACACAGAGAAATATATTTAGACAGCACGTACACATTTGTAAAATCTTCTAACCATGCAAGGATGGGCTTGGCACTTTAAGAATTTACTTTAAACATGACATCTCTGATTAGTGGTCTACAAATACTGTATATAACAACAGAATCAAATCCAGGTATGTATCTACGTGTGGTAAGTAATGGACCTGATGCAGTGTACATTGTAGGTAATAACAAATGTCACGACCCTTTTCATGTTTGAACAGTCTCATTTTATATCACAGCCTGACTGAAGTGAATCAGTGAGTTAAGCAGTGTTTAATGCAAGTTGTCTTCAGAATTAAGACACTTTTTATATAGTTTATAGTGTGAATATATTGACAACTCTGCAACATAAAGTAATGCTAAAAATGCTTACCACTTTCAAAACAGGCATCAAATATAAGATGTCCTTTCTTAGGTTGTCCACAATAACCAGCTGGGAGAACAGTGTACTTGCTCACATTCCCTGCTATGATATCATCACTTCCTATGGCACTACCTGTTGCAGTAAAAACAAAACAAAAAAAGCATGACCGTTAAACAAAAAACTATAAAACACAGTAGGAGGGTATTCCCCCATGTTTTTCTATATAACATGAAATTTACACCATTTAACATATGCACCAGTAAACGAACTCTTTCTTTTCAGTTTATGTAAGAATTTGGATCTAATAATGGCATCTCATGTTAAAGATTCTCTAAGTAACAAACCACACAGCCTGGTTTCTGGCATATGCCTGTCCTGGGGCTGAACCCTCCCGTATGCAATAGTCTGGTATTCAGCTTGATCCACTTCTTTTGACTCTAATACATATATTCTGCATTCATTCCCTAGAACTGAACTCCTCAGCAGCATATTCCTCACCATGGGCATTAATGGGAGCTTTTTCCTCTATCCTGCTGCCTATTTTCATGCATCTTAAATGAACTTAGAACCTTTCAGACTGTTAAGTCCCACTCATATTTGAAATTTGAAAATTATTAGAAGGGAGAGACATACAGTCATGGAGGCATGTGATTATCTGAGCCTTGACTGCTTAGGATACAAAACTCAGAAAAATAACTTAAATAAAGAATTTTTTTAAATGTGGGGTTTATTTCATAATAAAATATTTGAGGACATAGATTTTCTATACAATGGCATTATTTTTGTCAAAATATGTCAGTAGTGTATATATTGAGGGCTTTGTTTTTCCAGTAAAATTATACTGTCTAACAAATTGCAGTGTGTACAAAATTTGTTTCCAAATAGGGATGGAAGAACACAGGGATTTTTGACATACGAGAAGTGTACAACAAAGTAAGTTAATATTTGTGTATTATATTATACATTAAAATTATAGAATAGTGAAAGAAATACATAATAATATAACTAGCTGCTCATTCTTCTGACATTGGCTCAGCATATTCCTCACTATTTACTGTTTGGACAACAAATATTTAACAGTAGAAAAACTATCTTCTGTGTTACAGAAAACTAGAAGAAATGTGTATTCTTCAAGTGCAGAAGGCATGTGATGGAATAATGGGATGATAATATCTTATTTCACTGATAAATAGGGCTACTAAGGCTTCTAGAAATAGACTTTTGGTCTGCGCTGATTTTTTGACATTTAAATGGGTTACAGGGGATGATGAATGTGACATAAAGCTCAATTTGTTTTATTTTTATATTGAAAACTATTTCACACAAATGTTACAAGCAATTCATATTGGCCCTGAATGATGAAAACAGCTTATTAATTAAAACTGACCTTTCCATACATAAATGTATTCCACCTCTCCAGGCAAAACACCTTAGCTGAGGTAACAAATTATATCAATGTATTAGTGACACCATAGTTAAAGGGTCTGTCAGACTTGCTATTACATACTCATATTTTCAGAGGTGTATATATATCCCATATTAAAAAAATCTGTATATCCAGGTCCACACTCAGCATATAAATCCCCAGTCTTCCCAGGGAAGAAATTTGGAACTTCCTCTCTTTGAGAAGTACCACAACAAAAGAAAGAGGATTTAGACTACTTCTTACTTTATCATAACCCAAAAAGTTAGATATTAAATAATGCATGCTATTATTTTTTAGAAAAATTATTTGCAACCTCAAGTTTATTTGTTTTAGACTGAATAACTACCCACGGACAGCAATCTGCAGCATTTAAACAATTTTCTTTAAATGCAAAATTGTTTACTATATTTTTATCTAGATGTTTAGCTAGATGTGAGCTCATGCAATTTGCTCAAAGGCTGCTAACACCAGAGGCAAACTTAGACCCGGATGGGGCATCTGTGTATCTGTATGGCCACGACCATGTCACTTGATATAATTCATCACCCCTTTGCCTAATGCAACCTGTAATTCAGCACAGCAGCCACAGGAAAACCGTTTCCTCAGTTTCAGTTCAGTGCCACTTTGATTAAGATCCCCTATATACCTGTCGCAGTTAGTCAAGTTAATTGTTTGTAAGCCAACACATGGAATCAAGGATACAAAGGAAAACTCAGGGGACACCTGCAGATCTCCACCAAGAATGCAGGAGCTGCCAGGGACCATGGTGGAAGAATGGGAGGCAGAGAGTGAACTAAGTAGAGTGCCAAGAAGACTGAACTCCTCCTGGTAAATGCTCACTTGTAAGTCTCAGCTAAAAATAATAGGTGTCTTGTAGTTCTTAAAAGAGAGCTGGGAAACACTGTTTAGATAAAGACAAAGAAATTAGAAAAGATTAAATTCATAATACTGCCACCATAAGACAGTGTAGGAAAAGCAGGCAGAAGACAGAACTACATCTCCCTTTCCACCTAACTGACAAATTAGAAAATCTGCCAATGGAGTCTTTAAATGATGCAGAAGGAAGCTGTCAAGTAACTGTGTCCTAGCAAAAAGTTTCCATCTGCTCCTCCTGGCCTAATATAGCCATTCAGGAATGAGAATAATATCATCAGATAGCCTATAATTCATAGTCATTTAATAATATTAATCTCTCCTTGCATGTTCTTTATTGTAGAGTATTTTGAATATTCAGAATGTACTGTGTAATATTTAGAGTTATGTTATCTTCAGTTAATCTCTAACCACACAAAACTGCAGTCTTTGAACTTCACGTTATTATACAGCACAACAGCATTATGTCCCTTCCGGCATGTTCTCCTTGGATGACAAAGAAAAGGCCAGACTACTGGCCGAAAAAGAGCCTGCATTGCTGTATTACTAGATTATAAAACAGGGCTTCACGCTTGTCTGTTCAGCAGATGCAGCGAGTGTTGCTGAGAATACATTACCATCTTCAGATGGAGAGAACTGTTACACTGTGCCATAAGTCCTCTGGCCAATAAAGAGATCCTGTCCTCGCAACTGGGGAGCCCTAAGTAGATTTACTTGACTGAGGCAAAGACGTATGACAGAACCTTGTAGGGAAGGGAAACAGTACTTCAATCTGAAACAAACTGAAAGGGAACGAAGAGAATTAACTGAAGTACATCCTGCACGTTACACTTAAGGAGACCAGATTCTCTTTTGAAAAAAAGGTTAGATAAGACAAGCAAAGGCAAAAGTAACTTAGCAAAGAAATTTTCTCAGACTGTAGGTCTTATTTTGTCAATTATTTTTCTTATAAGTTGTACAACATAGCTATTTTATTCTAATTCTTCACAGCTTAAACTCCTGGAGTCTCCAGCAAATCCCTAGGATTTACTTTACCAGAGTATTAAACTTTAATGGTAATTTTCTATCAGGTATAAAATCTGTAGGTGTCTGAAATCTCTGTAAGTATATAAGGCTTTAAAATAAAACCTGGACATAGTCTTCTGGTATCTGCATTTATCAGTATTGTCATCATGGACATATTTCACATTGAACTAGTGAAAATGAATAGAATCAGTTACAGAGGACTGGGATTCTTAGGAGAGGAAGAGTCTGGAAACTTCCAGAACTTCATGCTATTTTTAAGATCAAAGGGTAAAGCCAAGATTTTTTTTCATTTAGGTAAAGATGAAAACAGTATTAACGACAACAAACATCATGCAAATTGAGATACATTTTCTTTAAAAAATGTAGTTTCTACAGGAAGGCACCTCTTTAGTAAGTAATAGTTACTCTTTGAATTGGGTAAACAATGAGCCCAACTTCCAGCTGTGACAAGCTTCAGAATCCACGGAGCTAGCAGTCAGCAGCTACCCTCATGCTACATTAGGTAGGAAAGCACAGATGCATTAAAACAGACATAGAAAAATATACAGTGAATTTGCCTGGAAAATCTGCATCATTCTTACGTTCAGACTTGCTGCCTAACAAGGAGAGCCAGTAAGAAAGGGAAGGTAACATGAAAAGATACAATAACTGCAAGTGAACTTTGTAGAAGTATTTCTTTAAATATTGCAAATGTCATCAAGACACCTCTCATTCTGAGATCCTTATTTTAGAACAAAATTAGGATACATTTTGCTACTGAAAATTTCTACACTATAAAGATCTAATAGCCAGATTCCCATCATCCAGGAGCCAAAAAAAGTTTCCAGCTATCCTAACAAAGAGCTTCATCAGCCCGGAGCAGTACTGTTATTGTAAATACCCATAAAGAAGCGAATCTGAACTCTCAGTAGTTTGCAACAAACAAAAATTCATTCAGATGACCAGCAGCAACTCCTGTTAGCTCCTAAATATAACATGTCTCTGGATGAACCTTGCTGAACTCATGTTTTGGATAAGTAACACTTACAGAGGATATGCCAATATCAGTGTCTTCTCCACAAATGAGAAAACTGCAAACAGCAAAATTCTCTTATGTGATAGCATTTGTAGAAATCTGTAGTTTTAATAGGTGATTATGTTCCCTTGTTCTTTGATTTTTTTTTAATAAAAGCTTTTATATGATTGTCCCTAGCCCTCAGCAGCACTGATAATCAGAAAGACTTGTTATTTCTGCTATCAGCTCTGAATGCTCGATGGCCATTCTAAAAATCCTACAGGCAGCAGCAGGCAGGAATTTCAAATTCCAGCTCCACTGGCCTAAAAAACACAAAAGAAAAGAAGAAAACACAACTGTCATTTCAATCTTCACAGCCATGTATCCTGCAGCAAGGATTGGGCATGACCCTGAGAATCTACCCATACTGCAGAGAGCGTTGTCAATCTGAAATGTACTTAATTCACAGTCACCACAATCTGAAAAGAAATGGAAGAAATTATGTTGAGGCTACAAATCCCAGGGTTTGGGAGACCACCCGGCATGGTACCACCACCACCTGCTGCCTCACATTCAGGTACTGTGCCCATACTGTCACCATTACCTATTCCGAAGGTCAAGCAGAACAAGGAAAATATTATCACAGACAGCATTCTCATACAGCTTGGTCTAGATCTAAAAAATAGTAACATTGCGTTGTTATTTAGAAATCCAATTTGAGATAAAGCATCTGTAAAGTAATTGTCTCTTCAATTACTTTACTCCTACAGTTTGACCAACAGACTGCTTGTCAAGTCTGTCTCCAAACTGCAA